CGGCGCAGGGCAGGGACGCGGGCGGACAACCTCGGCCCCGGACGCTCTCTAGAGCCCCAACGTGGGGTCCTGACCCGCGCCCGCCCAGGCCGGGTCGCCGCCGGCCGGTTGACGTCGGCGAAAGGGCCGCCTGTCCCAGCTTCGGGGAGGCCCACCTGCCACCTGGAGGGCGTCGCCAGGAGGACGCTCGGCGCACCTTGGTCGGACCCGCTTGCCCAGGCAGAACCCGAACAACAAAGGAAGCGGCGCGAAGGGCGGAAAGGGTGGCCCAGGTGGCCTGGGTGGCCGGCCGGGCCACCGCGGTCGCTGCACGCACCTCCAGCCAGGCAGCGCAGGGCCCGGGTCCTCGGCCAGGCGGGGCGCCCTCGTCCGGGGTCCGCCCCGGCGGCTGGGGGGCGCCGGGGCCCCCCGGGCCGCCTGCAGCGGTGCCAGCGGGGAGGGTGCTCGGACCTGGGTGTGGCCCAGGCCTGCGGGCACCTGCCGGCCTTGGCGAGCTCCTCCGGGAGGCGGGCAGGGCCACACTGCCCTCTTGGTCCTTCTCGCTGGAAACCACCGAAGGTCACCTCGCCTTTCTGCAAGCTTGCCGGCCCGGGAAGCGGGCCTGCTCTCAGCGCTTCCGGGTGTCCTCAGAGCCCCCTCCCCTCCCACATGAAGTCAAGAACATGGACCGCCCAGAGCTCGGACCCTCCTCCCTGGGCATCGCTGGGCTCAGGCGCTCCCGAAGGAGGGGGCCCCTTCCCGGAGCTCCTATTCTCCCTTCTCCCCCACCTCCCCCTGCTGAGCCTGAGCCGATGGGCAGAGAAGGGGACAGAGACAGGGCTGTCGGGGAACCCGGAGAGGGTGGGCAAGGCTGCGGACTGTGGCCTCCACCGTGAGGAGGGGAGAGACGTGAGGGAGGGCAGCCTGGGACAAGAGACCAGCTGCAGGGAGGGCAGGACACCGGCCTCCAGACTGGCCAGGCGCCTCTGAGGAACCTAGCAGTCACTCACCCCGCGGTAGGTCCGGGGTCCAGGACTGGACGAGGGAGAAGTGCTGGTGGCAAGCCCGGTCTTAAAAATCCCAGAAGAGACAGAAAACGTATAAAAGCCAAACGGATTTTACATGAGAGCCGATTCCCCCTCTGGGCAGTCCCTGAGTTTAGGTAACTTTACAATTGCTTCCCTTCCTTGCTTTTCCTGGAGGAAAAAACAAAAACTTAAAATCCCAGCCAACCTCGAGATGTACAGAAGGAATCGGAATCCAGTCTGCAGGCTTGGGGTGGGAGGGAGCCCCGCTGCCAGGTGGCCTCCCCCTCCCGGTGCAGCTCCGTGGCCCCAGCTCTGGGTGAGGGTGAGGTACAGCCCCCTTCCCTGATGGGCCGGAAGAGAGCCTGCACTAATTAGAGGCATCTTACCAGTCTTGACTTGAAATTGAAAGAAAATGACGTTTAAATATGTATGACTTTGACATTTGCAGTCAGATGCCTTTCCAAAGCAGAACAGCTCCTGCACAGCCTGCTTCAGTGAAGTTTGACCCGGGGAGGGGGAGCTGGGGATGCCCAGCCCAGGGCACCTCCAGCCAGCCGGGTCCCTAAGCGACAGACTGGCCTCCGTGTGATCAGGAAGAACACCTGGCTACTCGGGCCTGCTGCTAGAGTACGCACGCACGGAGACGGAGCGCTAGCTCTCCCCCAACTCTCCACCGGCCACTCCTCCGGAGCCGGTGTGCGAGGGGCCAACAGACATTACCCTGACAGAGCTGAACTCAGGCGTCTGTGTGTGATTGAAGGTACTGGGCTCCCATCACACGCTCTTCTGAGCCATTAAGGCAAAATGCCTCCAGAACTTTTTATAGCTGTCCATGTGGTAAGCTTAAAAGCAAAGGAAAAAGAACTGTCCCCAAACATAGCTTGAGAAGACGGAGCCCCACCAGCACAGCTTTATGGGATGTGTGCTGGCAGTAGCGAACTTTCGGGTTTCCCAGAGCCACTCTTCACCGAAGCCACTGCCTTACGGTTTGAAAATGCGCTTGTACTAAGCCAGCTCTCCGGGGCTAGCGCTCCACTTCCTCGATATTAAGCTCTGCGCTGTTTCCATTTGTATTTCTGAGGAAGCGGATTCGCAGCCCAGACTCATCCTGTCGGCACGTCTGCCACTAGACTTAGATCAGTTCTGTAACAGAAATTAGATTTCGAGACTATTGGTGAGCTGCTGTAACGAGTTTGCTGCGATTTGCTGCGTGACTTACCTCGCACTATTTGGCAATTTTACTCTAAGTTTACTAAACTGTTTACTAAAAATGGCCACCATTACTTTCAAGGTGATCTCAATTCCTAACAGTTTTCAGTCCGTGGAAAGTGACCAAATTAAAAACATGGAGGAGGGGCATCTTAAAATATTTTTAAAGTATTTTTTAAAGCTGTTAACTGAACTATTTTTAATTTGGAATTCGCCACAGAATTCTAATAAATGAGAGAAGTCAGGCGGAAATAATCATGTATTAATTCTCTGCATTACAAAATCTTTTCAGAAGCTGTCATCAGAGCAAGAGGCACCAGGGTCTGAATTCGGGTGGGAGAAGGCCTTTGTGCGACTGAAAGCCATTGTCCTCTCTGTAGATGAAATTGTACTTGCAAATCTGCCATTCAAGTAGCCCCCCCCCCAAAAAAAAACTATATGGGCCAAAGAAAAGACCCTCCAAGAAATAATTATTCTTAAATGTAAGCGTTAATGGAAGCAACTTGGGATACGCTGTTTTAGAATAGACCATTGGTTGGATTTTTCAGACATATGCATAAAAGGGAATACACAAAACACCATAACTTATTTACCATCTCCAAGCACTCCTTCACATCAGTGTTGGGGAAATCCCGTGTTTTAAAATGCCAGGGAAGATTTCTGATACTGATGCTTAGCGGGAGAGCACCTTGGAGGAGCTCGTTTTCAGCAAGCCCCATAACTAGCAGGTAGTTCGGTAGCAGAGAGCCCACAGCCAGCCCAGGGCCGGGCCGGAGTGGATAGGCTCCCCCAAGAGAAAACTCGGCCGT